TACTATTCCTACTTTGCGTTTTTTCACTTATCGTGGGTCTTCAGGGTATGGATCGCCCGTGATAAACGAGGGACTACTGTAACTAAGATTTTAAAAAGTGTAAAGGCACCTATTACCAGTGTAGGGTATTTGTGAATACTGGCAAGTAGGGAAAAAAGTTAAAAACAAATGAGCTAAAAATCATGACTCTGATCTATAGATGTTGCAAACCTTTTCACAGTAACTGATAAACTCTAAGTATAGCCATAAAATAAAGTACATAAATAAATAAATACCTAACTGCAACCTATGACCTTACGTTTTAGCTAATTCATCTGCACTGGATCGCAGAATTTGTTGAACTTGGGTCGATCACTAAACCATCCTCAGAATAATGAGATGAAGAAGGGTCGACTTCTTGTTGCAAATATTCAGGAGAGCATGCCCTCTAAAGAGTGTGATTTGCCTTGTGTGTATTTAAGTAGTTCAAGTAACAGTTTGTGGTTTTGCATTGATTTGATTTGCTTCCTTAACATAAACTGAAGTTACATTTATTTGGACTGCTCTTCCAGCTGTCAATCAATGTCTCAAGTTAACGGGAACAATCTAAGACAAGACTGAAACGTGTTTTAGTATTCCTAATACCTTTCAGTTACTTTCCCACTACAATGCCGACGGTTACCATTTATCCATACAATTTTTAACCAGGAAATCTGATGTATATACGTATAGTTGCTGATGAGGATGTAAGTCTTTTCCAGGTTATATAAAAAAACTGACAACAATGCACAATTATAATCACACTTGTGGCCAATCTTGAACAGCTAAAGAAACCAAAATGGTAGAAAATAACTACAACAATCACACAAAAAAGTCCCTGTGACAATGGTAAATCAGTTGTAATGTCTTGAAACACCAATCTGTCCAAAGTTTGAATTTATTTTTGCCCAAAAAGCTGAAAGTGTTTGAGTTTGACATACTGAACCTAGCAAAAATGTGTGTTTCTGACTTTATTATGCAATTAATTAAATTATACTGATCTAATAACATGACCTGACACTAATCATGCCTGATACACATGAATCAACATTTAGATGTAAACTGGTTACGAAAATACACTTATACATTAGAACTGTGAGTAAAGAGCTACACATGACCCCAAAGGGCCTGTTTGAGGTCCAGGGTTCACACAGCAGTGACTCCTAGACACAGCTGCCTTTATCCAGGTAAGTCTGGAAGAATATGTACCGGTATGTGTGAGAAAGTTTTCATGCCAGGCATACCTGTCTTCCAAACATCAAAGCCTTGGTCGAAGCAAAACAATATTTGATTTCATGGCGTTTCTTGTGTCGACAATCTGACCTTTACAACCTTCTCCCCCAATTATCAAGAAAGCACTGTTAATTTTCCATGAAAGACACATTTATGCAGGCGGTGCTCGGCTACACAGGCACCACTTTTACCCCAGGTTTCCCTTTTCACTGTTCACTATAAGCCTATTTTTCTCCAGTCGTTTAAACTTTGACTTTATCCCACAGGGGAAAAAAAGTCAAGAATAAAAATACCTTTCTACTTTCACTAATTTGCTTAATTGTCTTTAATCTGCATTAGGACTTTTCCATTCAAATCCTTCTGATATGAATCTTTCAAAGAAAGCATTTAGCTTTAAACTTCTTTTTATACTCCTTGACAGAACTGCTATAATATTAAACAATCACTTTTTTTAAATTTACTTTGACATGGATGCAACTGTTGCAAAAATCGACAGAAACACTGATCTCTTTGTCCCGTCATGACACAGCGATACTGTAATTTTTGTTGAAAGAGACCAAGACAGAGCACCGGTTATACAGATCATCTTGCTACTAAAAGGTTACAAGGTCAGGCGCTGCTCCACCTTCCTTTCCAAGTTCAACACATGTCACTATTAAAATGATTTAGAGTTTACGTAGTGGAGAAAATGTGAGTGAAGCTAAAGCAACATTGGGAAAACTTTTGAATGTTTTGTTGATTACTTAAAAACTAGCAGGTAAAATGTTCTGCCTTTAAGGTAATAAACTCCTAGCTATAACAAATGAATTACTCCTTTCAAGTTATATTATTCTATGAACGACTACCCTGTTGGTATTCTCCAACGTCTGAAATCGTTTGAACACAGATAATGAGAAGTTATGGTAGGTTGAGAATCAATTGTTGGTTTGGATCACAGAACAATGATGCACCTCTAAGGCTTGATCTCTTTCTGTTGACGGAGGATTGATGAAGCAACAATGCGCCGTTTCTCAAAACACAAAAGATATCACTTTTCAAAGTGTCTACAGCAGCCCACGACATAAACACTTCACTGAGGCAGAGGGTCAAGAAATGTAGCAATAAACCTGTTTTTTGTTCAAATTCTTGGCTGGAAAAATAACCTGAACATTCACATTCCAGTTGGTGAGCTGAGTATCCCTGTTTACGTAAAACTGCCGTTTTCTACAATTTCCTGCTTCAAAGAGGCCTTAAGCAAAATGCCAATCTTGATGTGTATATTCTAATGTGCTTCAAACCAAAAAAAGAACGTCCAGAGTGGGTCTCCGCCTACCTCTAATGATCCTTGACCGCTTTTTGCATCTGGACTGGATCTTTGAAAACCTCCCGGTGAAGTCACTGGGGTTAAACATGTCGACTGACAAAGAGGCGATGCGGTCCAGGACTATCCCATCCTGGCCATGGCTCTGGACTTCCTGGACGACGCTCTCAGACTGGCCATTACAGTGATCGAATTGAATACCTTCAGCTCGGAGACTGGCGGTGCTTCTTACATCCTCTGCAGACATGTCTTTACTATTGACTCCACAAGCCGCAGGAGTTTAACCCACTCCCAGAAGTCAGTACTCAAAATGAAGCCCACTTCAGAGCTAGCAAACAGACCCTACATGGTTCAGCAGGAGGAAAATCATACAAAAGTTTGTAAAAGGAAAAGCTGTTGAAAGTAAATTACATAAAAAGGGTGTTCAGGCTGTAGTAAAATCTGTCTTCACAGTCTTTTTTTCTTTTCGTCCACATTCTGGCATCCGGTTTCTTCTTAGGGTTTCTTCTCTTTATTCCGGGTTCATTCAATCCAGAGACGGTGAGCTCATTGCCTTGTTACAAAGATCTCCTGAGAGTTCAGGTTCTTCTCTCTCTTGTCGCTCTCCTGCTTCCTTGTTTGAGACTTTCAAAAGTCTGTCAAGTGTCTTCTTTTGGTTCAGAGGCAGTTTAATTCTTTCAAGATGTTGGACTCTCTTCACATGCCTAGCTTGTGCTCTCACTTGCTCTACGGTTGTTTCCCTCTTGTCTTTGTCAGTCTTCTGAGGCACAGCTGTGTTTCTTCGCTCTCAGGTGGTGAGCAAGGGAGGGATCCAGTTCCAAGAACGCTGCTTGATTGGGTGGTTTGGGAAGTTTGGGTGGGTCTTCTATCCACTCTCCTACTTGTGGACTTTTTTTATTTTGCTTTTTTCGCCTCCACCTTTCTCTTACTCTCCTCTACCGGTATTCGTCAAAGAGGAATGTATTTATTTTTCTATTGCATTCTAACTTTCACACCGGTTTCATTTTTGCTCCTCCTGGAGCAGAGCATGATAGATAAGCATGCATGTGCTGGATTCATGCAGCCGGAACATGGTGTGTGGGTGTGAGTAAAAGCCTAAGATCTTGTACTCACTGGTTTAGGCTGTTCAGCCAGTTACAGTAACCTCAACATGTTAATGGTGTTGGATTACTGAGGGAAGACACACCCTTCCACAGAGGGGCAAACAGAGCCAACACTAACAGGAAGAGTTCTCAAAGCAGTCAAAACATTTTTGTGTCTGCTTTCAGTCTTCATTAGTAGATGCGTTTAAGAGATAAATGTGAAACAGTATGGCCAGTGTGACCACTGTACAGTTAGAAAAATACAAATATGAATACTCATCTGTCTCCTGATGAGCTGGTTTTCACAAACCTGACAACTGCATGTAGGAAGAGCAACAAGACTACACTGTAAAAACCCAGGTCGTAACCATAGTAAAAACCTTCCTGGACATTGTTTTAAAGACCAGGAATTAACCCAAACCTCTCAAAATGCAAATTACCTCTATGTCTTATCTTGTGGATGATGTACAGGAAGTGCAATGTGTTGTTTTGGTTTATTACAGTAATTAGATGTGGTCATGCCATGCTGTAATCACAAAATTTAAACTTACATCCTCATTCAACACTCTTCAAAACAAATTATGCTTCAAGACAAACAATACGGTGCTTATAAATCTGTCCAGTCATTGGAATTGTTTTTGACATTCCTTGGGTTTTCTTCAAATCACATTTGAGTTATTTATGTGTTTTTAACTTCTGTTTTCTGTGGGGTGGTTAGCATCTCTCAGGAGATATCGACCCTGAAGTGACTTCGTGTTGTTTACGTTACTATTGTCATGGCATCAGTTCCACCGAGTGCCTCACCCAGGAGCTCATGTGTGGGTGTAAAACAACAAAGCCCTTATATTTTCTTTCAACAGACTGCAACGCCAAGTTTAATCATTTTAACTACTGACGTGAAAATGTTCTTGTTGCCTTTGCCGTTGTCTTTGGTTGTACTCATACATCTTTCAGGTCTATTGACGTTTCTACATCAAAGAAAAATACATTAATGTCTCAACTCAGGTGCAGATCGGGGTCCTAATCCAGATGTTTGATTGAAAGCTGAATACCACTTCACTTCTTACTTTACATTTTGCATGATAATTATTTTTTGTGATGCAGAGGTGATGGCAAAGGGTTAGGGTTGAAAGTTAGACATTCTGAATGTCTTCAGAATCTATTGTGATGTTTCGATCTCTCGACATTGAAAAGGCAAAAACTTTCAACAATAGGGATGGGACCGTGAGAAGTTACTCAAACAGCAGGCGGCTTATCAGATCTATGCCCGTAATTCATCCCATAAAGGTTTGAATGTTGAATTCTTTTTGAATGTTTTATTCTAATTCATTAAATGTATTGTCTCATAATTTTTGGGTTCTACACATTTATATTTGGCTTATTTCTTGTCTTTGGAATTTTATGATGTAAACAAAAAACAACAACTTTGACATGACTGTCAACGGGGAAGAGGGCCGGCACCAGAGGAGGGGGAGTGCCAAAGACACCATCTTAGCACCAACATAACTGGTTTGTTCCACTTTGGAGTAAGTTGTTTGTGGGAAGAATCAGTTTTGTGTTGTGTGTTTCCTTGACTGATGAAGCCTCCTGGATGGAAGGTGAAACGTTTCAGCAAAAAAAGAAACTGTCCAGATGACCTGACTGAAAATTGTTGGGTTTATGATGTAAAATTTTTGCAATTGCCATTTAAGATTTTTTGCGTCATGTAATTATTTTATGGACCTTCCTTTACAAGAAGAGTGCATTTCTTTTTTATTGCATTTTTTTATCTATAAAAGAAAATTTATTCTTGAATTTCTATATTTTATGTTTTTACATTTTTTGCTGTTAATTATATGAATGGTTTGTAGTGTTTTACCTCATTTGTGACATCTGTATGTGATTGGTCAGACACGTAAGAAAAATTTCTCTTTGTGTTTTGTGAATTGTTTGCCTGATGAAGATCTCAAGAAACTTGTGAAAGTTAGACAGTGTGTGTCTTTGTGCTTCTTTGGATTTATTTGTTCTACTGTAGGGCAGCATGGTGGCGCAACTGGTAGAGCTGCTGCCTCTCAGTGAGCAGGTCCCTGGTTCAAATCCCAGTCCGGGGGCCTTTCTGGGTGCATGTTCTCTCCGTGCATGCGTGGGTTTTCTCCGGGTACTCCAGTTTCCTCCCACAGACCAAAAACACGCATGCTCTAAATTGTCCCTAGGTGTGAGTGAGAGAGTGAATGGTTGTTTGTCTCGTTTGTCTCTATGTGTCCCTGTGATGGACTGGCAACCTATCCAGGCTGTACCACGCCCCTCACACAATGATTGCCGGACATAGGCACCGGGGACTCCTGTGATCCAAAATGGAAGAAGCGGGTAAATGATAATGGATGGATGGATGGATGCATGTTCTACTGCAAACTTGTCTCAACCAATAAATGTGAAAGGTATTTTTTTTTTCTGTTTGGAAATCTTTACAATTCAAACTTCCTTAACACCCTCTGGTGATCATCGTTATATCATCTAGATCGTGAACTCTCACCCACTCACTACTATGCCTCACATATCAAATTCAACTGTATAAAGCCAGGTTGTTTTTCAGGTAGTGTAACTTTAGCTATGACCTGACTCTGAACATCCAAATCTAAACAACTCAAGCATACGGCTGAAAGGCCACAGCAGACGTTGCTACACAATCAGAAGGACGAAAAAAAGAAACTTTAGAATGCAACTTTTTCCTTATTTTATACAAGTGGTTTGAAAAATGTAAACATCATCCTAAAATTTCAACTGACCTGAATAAACATGTGAAAAAGTCATAAAAGCTTTTCAGCAAGTTTACTTTCACTTTAGAAATAAAGAATTTATCACATTAAAATACAAAAAACAAACAAACATAAGAACTGATAGCTGATGATATAAAGGTGAGACTCTACTTCCTCAGGCGGCTGAGACGAGCTGGACTGGGAAGCTCAGTCCTCACCTCCTTCTACAGGTGTGCAGTGGAGATCATTCTGTGCTCCAGCATCAATGTGTGGCATGGAGGCTGCACAGCTGCAGAAAGAAAAGCTTTGCAGAGAGTGGTGAAGGCTGCACAGAAGACTGTTGGAGTCAGTCTCCCCACCATCACAGACCTCACACCTCCAGATGCAGGAAGAGGGCCACCTGCATCACGAAGGACCCCACTCACCCAGCACACACACTTTTTACCCCGCTCCCCTCATGCAGGAGGTTGAGGAGCATTAAGTGTAGAATCACTAGACTCAGGAACAACACACTGAAGCTGTTAAACTCATGAATCTCTAACCAGGAAAACCACTGTAATGCCACTTTAATTGGAGATTTGATACTTAACAGTGCTGCTGATTATCCATGCTGCTGATTTCTTACTCATAAGCTGCTATATTCATATCCATCTGCTCACAACAGACTCATGTCCAAGTTGCTGTTTAATGCACCATATTTATATTATATTATTGTTTAGTGTATATCTCAGATTAGGGATGCATGATATATTGGCATAGTATCGGTATCGGACGATATTAGCGTTAAAGTTCACTATCGGACATTCCATCAAAATAACTCACTGATATAAAAGACGCTGTTTTTGTACAACAACCCAGTGACAAGGATGCCTGCAGCGGCAGCACAATGTGATGACGTCACACACGCCTACCTGATCTGATCACTGCGGAGAGGAAGGAGTCAAAATGTCACGGTGTGGAAGTTTTTTGTTTCGTTGAGGATATCGTATTTTGAAGATTTTTGGACTACGCTGAGCCTCGCTACATCGTCCCCAGTCAGATATTTTTCCAACGTAACCTTACTCGAGTTACAAGCCGTCATTTCTGACGTCATTGAAAAGCTAATAGCCAATAGCACTTGGGTGAGTCTTACCACAGACATTTGGACGTCGTGTTAGCCCCGTTAGCATGATTAGTCTTACGGCACAATGGATAGACAAAAACTTTGAACTTAAAAAGTCTGTCCTTCGTGCACAAGAGTGCAGAGGATCCCACACTGCAGCTAGGAACCACTAGGAACAAGCCTCGACAGGTGAGACAGCATCGCAGGTGGCTAA